CTCTCAGATGCTTCGTGAGAGGTTTGCGACTATAACACCTCCACAGGTAAATAACATAGTATAACATATTCAGTTTTAATTATTTTACAAATAGTAAGTTTAATTCACAGTACAATCAGATGATTCTAAACTATAACCGTTTCCCCAGTGTTGATAAACTTTAACTCGACATCGTCTCGTCTGAAAACACACAAATAAACAACATTCAAATCTTTAGTAAACACTATATTATGTGGACCGGGCGTTAAATAGGCTGCTAGTTATCTTCTAAAATCAGTAGAAACTTGACAATGAATCACGACTAAAATCATTTCACAATGCCCCTAAACGGGTTGGAAACCGGAAGTGGATAGCTTCAGTGGACGGTCTGGTCAAGAGCTCAATTACCAAAAGGGACTGGTACCCACCCATAGGAGCCCCCCCGCCCCGCAAAAAAAAACAAGATACAGAATTTAAAACAATGTACCAAAGTAAGTATCTAATAGAATAACACACAATATAAGTTATCCTTGAACACTACCATGAGAAATATTTTACCCTTATATTTAAAAATTCCCCTGGGGCGGGAACCCACTTATATCAACGAGCCCACATACACTATTCTCCCCACCGTCAGATAATATAGATACTTACTACTCCGCCCTGAACTGGTGGACATTCTATAACCGAGGAACCGAGATTTCTGTCAATATTTAAACACTCTGATTGTTTTAATACAATCTCCATTCTATACATATAACCACTCACAACCTATAAATAGAATTATATAACCACTTACAACCTATAAATAGAATTATATAACCACTTACAACCTATAAATAGAATTATATAACCACTTACAACCTATAAATAGAATTATATAACCACTTACAACCTCAACCTGGGGGTCAGGGAAAAATGTTGTTGATTTATGAGCCTAAACACTGAATTTACCGAATAAAACCAATCATAGTCATCGATTACACGTACAGTCATATTGTTTACTGTCTGTCTGTCAAGGGTTCTGATTGGTTGTATCGTTTGCGTATAATCCAATCAAATTGCTGCATTCCGTAATACAAGAAAGGTGATTATTACAGTCAATGTATACGACACAGTTCGTAATAGGTTGACATTGTGAAGGTGACAATTACAGTCAAGGTATAAGACACAGTTCGTAATAGGTTGGCATTGTGCAGGTGACTATTACAGTCAAGGTATAAGACACAGTTCGTAATAGGTTGACATTGTGAAGGTGGCTATTACAGTCAAGGTATAAGACGAAATTGGTAATAGCTTGGCGTTTTGAAAGTGACTATTACAGTCAAGGTATAAGTAATAGTTTGATAATATGACTGTGGGGTGAGTCTCTCTTACCTGGTGGGTGGGGCTGTTTATTTTGGTCAAAGTAAACCATTTCTGTCCATTAACGTCCGGCCTTCTGTTTTCAACGTTGATCTCATCAGCAGCAAAACTAGCAGCAGCTCTTACTTCATCATTTTCTTCAATAGCATTGATACCTCCTGGTATTGGTGGACTGGTGGCCACAGCTGAAACAAAAATAAAATATCAAAATAGAATGTTTATGGTATAAGTTACCTGAACAGTTCAAATCCTGTAAATCTGTTAATTCTTTCCAGGGATCTTTAACATGTACAACCTGTAGTACACAGGCACACACTCAGAACGACTAGACACTTTTTCCATGTCAGTGACATTGGTCTACTCTTTTTCGATTTCCAACTGTCGAAGGATCTTTAACGTGCACAGCCTGTAGCACACAGGGCCTCGGTTTATTGTCCCATCAAAACAACTATACGCTTTTTCCATGTCAGTCCTACGTTCTGCATCACTGACAGGGGGAAACTGGGTTGAAAAATCTGAAGGTATTATCTTGACCTATGCTGGGATTGAACCCTGGACCTTCAGGTTAGTGAGCAAGCATCTAACTCACTGACAGGGAGAAACTGGGTTGAAAAATCTGAAGGTATTATCTTGACCTATGTCAGGATTGAACCGTGGACCTTCAGGTTAGCGAGCAAGCATCTAACTCACTGACAGGGAGAAACTGGGTTGAAAAATCTGAAGGTATTATCTTGACCTATGTCAGGATTGAACCGTGGACCTTCAGGTTAGCGAGCAAGCATCTAACTCACTGACAGGGGAAATGGGTTGAAAAATCTGAAGGTATTATCTC